AAGATTTTCTTTTATGGGATTATTTCTACTGCAGGCATCGGGTAGCTTAAGTCATAGAAAGACGTACACAAGGCTCTGTGTCACCGGATTGTTGGTAGTGACGAAACACCTAAGTGTGCTCCAACTGGGAAATGAGTGAAAAGCGGTGTAGACCCTGACAGAGTGTAATACCATGCTATTTTCCACAGAGACATGGGCACTCAGCAAGGTCCTGGACGTGCACTGGGAGATAGAATGTGCTAGAAGCACGGTGGAGCTCATATCCTAGAGGCAGCAGACAGGAAACGCAGTTATCAAAGGGGAGACAGGGCATTAGGGGTTCTAAACCAGTCCGGGGCACCAAGGAGAGGCTGTGAGGAGCAGATATCAAGGTGAAACCCGAGGCCTCAGGGAAGAGTTAACCAGAAGATAGAAGGCTGAGGGTAAAGATCAGGACTGGGGAGTGCTCCTGGGAGTGCTCCAGTGGCCCTCAACCCTAGGCACATACTGGCATACGGTTGTCATCTGGGGAGCTTCAAAAAATACTGATGCTCCCCCCTCCAGCCCCAGATTCTCATTTAATTCTGTAGGGAGACAACCTGGGCATTAGCATTTTTCCAGCTTCACAGGGAATTTTACCAGCTTTCCTGGAGCTGCTAATATACAGTGAGACTGAGAACCACAGGTCATAGGTGGAAGCAAGTGGAAGGGATTCGCAGTCAGTATCTGATCATCTTTGGGTGGTAGCACAAGGCTTGTTTAATGCCATTTTTTAGTAGTCTGTATTTTGCAGACTTTTATAGCCATGCATTTTTTATAGTAATTTTAAGCAGGAGATAACTCAGAGAGAGTACATCGTAGTATCCAGGGTCTAGGTAATGGTCTGGGTCTCACCTAGACCTAGGACATTTGAATTCCAACTGCTGGTGAACAGATAGCAGGGTGATCTTGGGCAAATTACGTTACCTCTCCGGGCCTCAAGTTTTCCTTATCTCGAGAATGAACTCTACAATCCCGTGACTCTGTGAATTGGAGCTCTGAGTAAGCAAGACCCAGCAGAGGCCTGAATCATTAGGAACCTGACTGTGTGGGAGGGGATGTCTCTAAATAAAGACCACTTCTAAACTCCCAGAGTTCTGAAGGATCTTATTAGATGCTTCTTTTGTTTTTTAGTGTAGTTTTCATGTGAACCCAGTTGCTGGGGGTTTTCTGATGCCAACTCTGCATGAAACACGGAAAGATGAACCATGCCCTTCCCTTTGTGCCCTTCTGTCCCAACTCGACCACCCGCTCTCCTGCCCCTCTCCATACCGCCACAGTGTCTCTGAGCCCCTGCACAGAATCACCCTGGCCAGCTGGCAAAAATGCCTTCTATTTGGCCTCTGACATTTGCCAAGACTCTGCCCACATTTCCCAGAATCATTCCCTTGCCTCTTTCACTTTCCCCTCAAAGGAAACAAACCCCAGGAGCTGGGCACTCAGGTTTTTCCTGCAGCCATACCACATTCTTAAGGACTTTGATCGCAAAGGGAAGAGGAAGGAAAGACAGACTGGGAGACTTTGTTTTTTTCTGCTTCCCGACTGCCTTCTGGCTGTGGTCAAAGCCATCAGTGTGAGGGGCTCGCGGGTGGACTGTGCTGTCATGATTTCTGCTAAGTAAGAGGGCAGTGAGGTGTGGGGCGATGCAGTGGGCAGAGAGCCCTGAATCTAGGTTCCTTTCCTGGCTGCGCCCCCAGGGACCGGTCACTTCATTGTTATTTGGCTCTCAGGAGGGTCCAGGTTATAGGAGCCAATTCTGAAGGTCTCTTTCCTCTGAGTTCAGAGTCTTCATACAGTAGCTCGAAATTTACACCTTGGAAATCAACAATGGCTACAAATCAGGACCCTGCTTCCAACCCCCGTAAAGGCCCACTGTTAAGCACTTAACCAGCACACTGCTGAGGGTATGTGCCTGGTCACGCTGTGTCCACAATCCCCTGAGAGCATTTGTCACAAGTGCAGGATCCCCGGGTCCCACTGCACACTCTGGATTTAGAATCTTTCGTTGCTCGAGGGAATTCCAAAGACCTGTACACTGGAACTGGCTTTCTGATGAGCGGTGGAACCCATGAATGACATAACCTTAAAGATCATTTTTGGCTCTAAAAATAAACCTGCTTCATTGCCACCTGCCTATGCGTTTGTGGCTACAAGCAATAATCAAATCATCCACTGCTAGGCCATCTCTTTCTTGCCAATCTGGGGACAGCGTGGCTCCTCATGGAGCCTGCTGACTTGTTTCTACCCTGACAAGGTAATTCTTGCTCCCAAGTTTTACATCAACCAGATGCAGGGCAGAAGTTCCCGGTAACCAGCTGCCCCTCACTAGTGGTGCTGGGGCTTCGAGCAGGCAGAGTTTCCTTTCAGAAGTGACTTCTCAGGGCTGAAGAGCACAAGGCATAATGACGTGCCCTGGTTCCCTCCTGGACTGGAAAGTCCCCCTAGCCCCGCAGGCTGGCCTGTGGCTTACTGCTCATGCCACACTGGACTTCAGGCAGCTCTCGCTATGACCTGGGGAGGAGAGGGAGTTGCTGCCAAAGAGAGCCCGAGGCAGGGATGTTTCTAAATGTCTTGAAATTCTACTTTATAGCACTCGGGCCGCTGCCCGCGAACAGAACCCTGGCTCTTTAGCAGCCAGCAGGAATGTCTTCTGGAAGGAAGAGGACGCTGGGCTAGCTGTGGCGTTCTTTTCTGATCCCTCTCCTGCCTGGTCAGCACCGCCCTAGGCTCTCCTGTGATCTGACCTTGACAGGAATGTGTTACTGCATCTTTCTCTCTCCGATTTCTTTCTTGTCTCTCTTTTTTCTGGCCCCAGCTTTTCTATCTGCCTTCCGGAATCGCTCTGAGGTAGGCCCTTCCTGCTTCCTATGCCCATTATCTTTTTCAGCCTCCAGGCCTCCACCCTTGGCACTGGACAACCCCCTCTGGCTGCCTCCCTTCTCTCCTGGACATACACAGTCACCGCTGACTCCTGAGAAGTGAAGTTTGGGATCTGGGGAGGCAGGAGAAGACTGCTCAGAGCGTGGGGAAGGGAGTGGGAGCCCAGAAGCTGTCTGTGGGTACCGGGGCAGGAGGGCCGGAACAGAGTTTGCATATAGAGTGGAAGACTGGGGAGCTTAGGAAGGGGTCCAAGTTTCAGGTTTCTCTCAAACGAACGGACCCAAAATCTCACCCCAAATAACTGTCATCTTCTTGAGAAAGCGACTTGCCTCCGGCCAGGTCCTGTGCAGCCCCCTGCTTGAGCAGGGGAGCCTGGCCTACGCACCCCCCACCCCTCCTCCGCAGCGCTCCCCCCACCCCGACCCCCACACCCTGCTGCGCCCTCCCTGGGTGCCGGGGGCCTGCGGGCCGCGGGGCTGAGCCCGAGCCGGCTCCGGCTGTCTGCGAGCCGCGCTCCAAGGCAGCGGGGTGAATGGACGGCATCCAGCCCGGCCGGCAACTTGAAAATAAAAATAAAACAGAGAGAACAGAAATAAATAATAAGGAGCGCGCCAGAAAGCCAAAGAAAATACAATCGCCAGACCGGAGCGGGCTGCGAGCCCCTGGCACGGGAGGCGGCGGGGCCTTTGTGCTCCCCAGGCCACCCCCGGCGCGTTTCTGTCCTAATTGAAGAAACACAATCCTGGGGCTGCGCAGCGACGCGCCCCGCGGCCGCCCAAGGCCAGAAGGGGCCGCTGGCTGCCGGCGCGGACCGCGAGCACGCCCCCCGCCCCGCAACAGGGCCCGGCTTGTTCTTTGTGCCCGCAAATATTTATTTTGGTTCAAGTGGACGCCTTTCTACAAAGACCACCTGGTTGTAATCAATAACACCTATTTTCAGATAATCTGCCGCTCTCTAGGCAGAGCCCACGGCACTCACCCAAACAGAGACCTTTTCAAAGGGCATTTTAAATGGGCTGGATTCAGAGGGCTGCAGGAGGGACCCAGGCTGGGGTGAAAGGAAGCGGGGGGGCACGGACCAGGCGCTGCCAGGTGGCCCTCTCCCCTGGGACCTCGAGGTGGGGGGGCGGGGAGAGCTTCCAGGAATGTTTCTCAAAACAAACGAAAACGTTTCTTTGGTGGACCAAACGTTACTGGAGAGGTAGGCTTCTAGAAACTTCGACAGCAGCTTCCTCCTCCGTCCAAAAGAGCATCTACTTGTCAAATCAGGGTTTGGGCAGGAGGCAGAGCCAAGGGCACCTCACATTGGCCCCCCTCAGGTTGCTGCGGGGCCTCCCATCCCTTCCTCCTAACAGGTGCACCAAGCCAAGGACATCTGACAGGACAGCCATTCGTGCAAGAGGTGCTCATCGCCTACCCCGGGCTGGCACGGTTCAAGGTCCCGGCTGCAGCCTGGACCGAAATGGATAAAACCATGCCCTCATGGGCCTTACACTCCAGCGGGGAGAGACAGATGATAAACACGGAAATAGGTCAAATATGCAGAGTGAGGTTATCCCAGGAAAAAAACAAAAACAAAAACAAAAACAAAAAACAAATGTGAAGACGATTTGAAAACTGTAAAGTGGATTGTGTTTCAGCTATGAGGTGAAGCAGCTCTCTGGACAGCTTTGTCTCCTCTGGCAGGTGTTGAGGAGATGAGTTCCCACGGGTGGAAAACCCCAGAAGAGTCAGAAGGTGCCGTGGGCTCCCTCGCATTCCAGGTGGACATAGCAGGCCTGCGTTCAAGTCCACCTACTAAGGTAATTTCAGAGCCTTGGAATCCTCAACCACAATCGGGCTAAGTAGTCCCCACCTCCCTGGGTTGCTGTAAGGATTAGATGAAAATTGATAACCTACTTAACTCAGCGTTACTTCCTTCCTCCCCAAAAGGCCATGTTTTAGTCTAAGTCCAGTGGCCATGTAGCATCCTGGAATAAAATAATGACATTTTTAGGCTTCTCATAACAGAATTTAAGATTTCCAGGTGAAGCGTGGAAACCAAATGTGTCATGGCAGCTGACACTGGGGGCTGCTCTCAGAGGAGGCGCTGGGCTGGGTCGGTCGTCGCTGTGACTGTGACAGTAGGGGTTGGTCTCTGCCAGCCAGTCTGGGTGCCAGCCATGCCCACAGCTGCACTCAGGGAAGAGCCAGGGCTGCCCTGTAACGTAGGACTCTCCTGACCACCACCCTTAGGCCGTGACCCAAGGATAGCCAAGCCAAGAGCTTCAGGTAAGCCTTGAGGGGCTCAGAGTGAGGTGACGGTAATTGGCTTAGCAAGTAAAGAACTTTGCAGTTCTTCTCTCGAACTTTTTTTTAAAGATTATTTATTTTGGGGAGTTGGCAGGGGCAGAGGGAGAGGGGGAAAGAAACTTTAGCAGAGTCAGCACTGAGCACAGAGCCCGGCAAGGGACTCGATCCCACAACCCCAAGATCACCACCCAAGCTGAAACCAAGAGCTGGTCGCTCAAGCAGCAACTTCTCACATCCTAACGCTGTTTTCTCCATCCTTGGAGATGGCTGGAAAGAGGGGACAGGACTGATTTACTTAGTCCTTTGTGCTGGTTGAGCCTGGCTGGGGCTGAATTTATGTCACTGCTCTTCATCAAGAATAGCTTTGTCCCTCTGATGAGATGTCCCCAGCATCGATTGTTAGCTTTGAGTAAGCTTTGCTGAGAGATTAAACTTGGGTTCAGACAACTCAGTGGGGGTTGATGGCCCAGGAAAGATTATGATAAGGAAGGGGTGAGGGACAGGAAGAAGGGCGGTGTCCTGGAATTTAGGATAATTGAATTTGCTGTGTAGCCAACAGTTATGACCGGGGTCATCCACTGGATCTTTGGTCATAAATCCACTAAGACCAGGAAATTCCAGGGTTAGGCTAATCTTTCCATTTTTTTCTCCGAGATGAAGATGGTTGAGGATTTAGAGAGGGATGGTTTTCACCTTCTAAAGATGCTGTGACTCTGAGTAAACTGATTTTTCACTTCTAGATCGTTAAACTTGTGGCTTAGAAACCAAGTTATCAGTCCTTCTGGCTTTTTGTTATAGTTTCTCCCCGGAAAACCAGGAGGACCTCCTACATAAAGGACGTTTGTCTGTCTGCTCTGATTACCCAAAGTGCTGGAGGTGGAATAGGGTTCCTCCAGGGACCTACTGCTTGTGAATTCCAAGACCTTGTTTTGACTCCAGTTTTTTCTCTGTTGCCTTTTGGGCATTTGCTAAGGCAAAGCTGTGGGACCATTTGTAATTAACTCTCAACAAACGGAGTAACTGATCTCCTGATTTCTAGATATTTCTGGCAACGTAAAACTTAACCTAAGTGCACATTGTAGGGAAGTGATTCATATGGCATCTCCAGAGTTTTCTGGAAACCCTACAAATACTCAGGATATTCTTCTTGGAATAAACCAAAGCTCCTACAGGTAAGGGGCTTGTTTTTTCTAGCAGAATGCAAGTGTCCTCAGCATGAAGGGCAGCTTGGGAAAGATCATGTCTTTGGCCACACAGCTTACCGTGGGGATGGAAATCCCTGCTCTCCTCTGCTGCTCTCTCTTCACTCCAATCTGACTGAAGTCTTCGAGGGTTGGCTTTGAGCACAAGTGGCAAGTCTAGGATTTGGTTGCTGGATTAAAGCCACTTAAAGAATTGGACCCCTTAGAGTATTGTGTCTTGGATTCTGATCAAGTAATCACTTTGTTTGTTAACGATTCAATGTAAAAAGAAGACTCAAGAATCATCAGCAATTCTCTTTTGAAAAGCAGATTTAAGCTCCAATCCAGTTAACTTTGCTTTTCAGAATTGGTGGCAAGTGTGTGTTTCTTCCCTATAGACCGCGTTCCTTTGGATAGAGAGTTGGAATTCTCCACATTTTAAAGGTCTCAAGGTGGATGTCTTATACCTATTGGTTTCTGAGGAGGCATATGTTGTCTTGTGTGTCTGTGTGTGGGGGGGGGTTAATGACAAAACTTTGAGTTACTCAGAAAACCACCAGATAAGTAGAAGTTCCTCAAAAAGACAAAAGCAGAGCAAAGGAAGGGAGAGTTGTCAGGAAAAGCTGAGGTATCTGGAAAGTATCACTAGAATATATGTGATGCTTGATTAAACATTTCTGAAAGTCAGAGCCTCAAGACAATGTAAGAGTCAGTGGGGAAGGAAATGCTACATCTTCTGGGGAAAGACAGTTAATAACAGACACCGACTTGGTAAACATTGCCAGCAAATTATAATAGTGCTCTGGTCTTATACTTTAACTGTATCTCTCGTGTTTTCATTTTCTCTCTGTGTGTCTGGAGTTAACCAGAAAGGCTCAGGGCAGACACCTCACCCTGCATCTCAGACCTGCTGGGCACCCGTGCTCGGATGTTTTCTGCCCACAGGTTCAATTTGACAAACAACAGACACATGTATCAGACCCTTCTAAAAAGCCAGGCACTCACTAGGTGCTAGGAATTAAAAAGAAAACATGAGACACAGCGGTTCCTACCCTTCATGTCCTTCTAGTCTAATGGAGGAGGGCACAGACCTTCAAATACAAATAGATCCTGGGTCTTAGCACTGCTGAGTAACCAAGAGTAATTAAAAAGTTGATTTCAGGGGCGCCTGGGTGGCTCAGTGGGTTAAAGCCTCTACCTTCGGCTCAGGTCATGATCCCAGTGTCTCTGCTCAGCAGGGAGCCTGCCTCTCTTTCTCTCTCTCTCTGCCTGCCTCTCTGCCTACTTGTGATCTCTGTCTGTCAAATAAATAAATCTTAAAAAAAAAAAAAAAAAGTCGATTCCATTCTTCACCCTCACCTCTACCAGAAAACATTTATGGCATATCCCAGAGCATTGTTTCTCCACACTGGCTGTCCATATCTCTACCCGGTCTTACCAATTCCAGTCTCTCCCCTGGATACCTAGTACAAGATCATTCGTTTCATTTTATGCCCATCCCCAGCTAACTCCTAGTTCCTCAGTCTCTCTGGCTAACTCCTCTCCTTTTTTCTCCTTTCTCGTACTGTTCCCCAGATTTTGCATCTCAAAAGGTGCAAGGGTGTGTGTGTGTGTGTGTGGGTGAGAGAGAGAGAGAGAGAGAGAGAGAGAATGCAGAGACAGGTGGAAACCACACATTAGAGCGATTTGGAATCTCTTGTCCTCACCCACAGCCAAAACGTACACATGTTCAGTGAGATACGTGCCTTTGAAATGTCTATTTATGGATCTTCCCTTTATCGGCTTCTCTTCCTTTCCCTCTTCTCTTTCCCTTCCTTTCCATTCATTTCCTTTCTCTCCTGAAGTATTTATTCTTGAAGCCATATGGGGAACAGAGCAAGGTCAGTATCAGAGCACAGTGGTAGTAGGGTTGCACCAGGTGAGAAGGGCATGGAGTGCAGAGTTAGCACCCAAGTGGAGGAAAGACAGTGCCCGTGGGGGACTGTGGTGCGACCTGTCATGAGAGTCAGGGCTTGAGCAGATGGAGGAGGGTGTCACTGTAGAAGGGTGGCCTGGCTTGGAATGTGAGAGCTTGGACCGAGTGAGGAGGACATCGATATGGAAGCATGGGCTGTGAAGGGTGAGGCTGGAGCCCACGTAGTGGGGTGGCTGGGATGGAAATTGACAGCCAGAGCAGGGAAAGGAATAGGTCCCATGGGGGTGGGAATGTGGCAGGGAGAGGGGACGGGTCACGTGCAGGATAACCGAAAAGCAAGTGCATATATTCTGCTTAAGGGGAGTCCTGTTTGTCATTGTCCAATAGGAGAATCACAGTATGGAGGGGACAGGTGAACCCTGTGGTGTTAGTTCAATTGGAAAAGGATGCATTCGCATGAACTTCACTTTTTCAATATATATATAGATAGAAAAGAAAGAAATACGGATACCAATGTCTAATCATACGTGATGGGTAATTTAATTGTCAGCTTGAGTGGGCTGAGCGTTGCCCAGAGAGCTGCTAAGACATTATTTCTGGCTGTGTCTGTGAGGGTGTTTACAGGACAGATTGACATTTGAAACAGTAGACTGGGTCAAGGTCTTCCTCACCAAAGGGTAGGCATCATCCGGTCTGCTGAGGGCCAGTCTGTTGGATAGAACAAAAAGGGGGAGGAAGGGCAAATTCTCTTTCTCTGTTTGATCTGAGACCTCTGTTGCCCTCAGACACCGGCACTCCTGCTTCTCAGGTTTTCGGGATCAGACTGGGACTTACACCATTGCCTGCGCTTGCACGCCATTCTCTGGCCTCTGGACTCACTTGGATTGAATGACATCGCTGGCTTTCCAATTTCTTCAGCTTGTTTCTCTGGAGAACCATGACTAACACAGCGTATGTATGGATATGGATATATGTGCGTGTGTGTGTGTGTGTGTGTGTGTGTGTGTGTGTGTGTGTACATGATGTATGTATACGTAGATACGTATGTTGCCTTTCTCTGTCCCCTGAAAAGGCGTGGGAACAGAAACAGTGCAATAGCAATGAGCACACCTAGCACCCAGATATTGGGTTCTAAATATCATTTTCCATGGAAAAGAACCAGTCACCCTTGGAGAAACAACAGATTTCATGGTTGGGACAGAGAGCTGGAAAAATAAGAAAGTGCTTAAAGATTGGTGGGAATATATCAAAGGACACAAAGCCAACTTACATGGTCTCCCACTGGGGTAAGGTCATCATCACATTAAACAATAATAAGAACATATATCCAGGGGATAAGAAACTAAGTCTCTAGAGACATAAATAAGTGAACACATGGAAATCTAAAGATGAATGAGATATTTATATAATTTATAATTATATTTTTATTTATAAATTATATTTATATAATTATATAATTATAAATTATAATTTATATAATTTCAAAACACCTACCCACAAAATACTTGATTTTTTAAAAAGGTTTTATTTATTTGAGGGAGAGAGAATAAGAGATAAAGAGAGAGAGAGCATGAGGGGGGAGGGTCAGAGGGAGAAGCAGACTTCCTGCTTCAGTCCTAGGTCTCCAGGATCATGACCAGAGCCGAAGGCAGTCGCTTAACAAACAGAAGCACCCAGGCGCCCCACAAGATAATTGTTAATTACAAAGGGAAAAGAGTACCTGTACAGTGGAGAAGACCAGAAGACACCACAAAATGAACTTGATCAATAATGGATAAATTGAAAGTGTGTATGGAGAAGGCAGCATCGCTCTGTAATACTGCCACCAGAGATGCCTAGCCTAGATCTGATCATGAAAAAATACCAGACAGCTCCAAATGGAAGACCATTCTACAAATAACTGGATTATACTATTCAATGTTGTCAAAGTCTTGAAAGTCAAGGAAAGACGTGGGAGTGTTGCAGACTAAAGAAATGGGACAATTAAATATAATCGAAATTATGAACAGAATCCTTTTGCTACAAAAGGCAATAGTAGGACAATTAGCTAAAGGTGAATGGTGCCTGAGGGTTCCATGCTAGTAGTCTGTCTCTCTTAATTTTCTGATTTTTCAAGATCCTACTGGATTATGTCAGAGAATGTTGTTGTTTGTGGGAAATTCACACTGAAGTATTTGGGTGTGATGGGTCCTCAGGTTGGCAACTTCCTCTCGGGTGGCTCAATAAAACATGTTCTCTGTAAACTCAACTTTTCTGTAAGTGTGTGACCATTTTGAGCCTTGGCGATTTTTTAAAATTAAAACAGTACATTCATAATAGACAGAGAAATTAAGGAGTATGATTTAACTCTATTTTATGATATCAGAGAAGAACAGAGAGTTACTTATTTCCATAGTTCTTTTCAACATGCAGATCATTTTCACTTGTAGTGTCTTACTTAACCCCTTTGATAACCTTGTACAGTTAGGACTATAATCTTCATTTTACAGATGGGAAAAATCAAGCTCAGATACGGTTATGCTATCATGAGGAGAGTGGCAATGTCGGGCTTCACACCCAGGTCTCTCTGACTCTGTCCCTGTACTTTATTCTCTCAGCGTCTAAGGATGGCCCACTCCTGTGTGCCCACTGTCACCACAACAAAAACAAACAAGCAAACAAACAAACAAAACCCTAGTCTCTCCTCTCATGGAACGCACAGGCTGCTTTGGGTCTGCAAACAATCTGGAGCCAAGCTTACTAAGCATAAAATCCCAGCTCCCAGCCTCTATTTCTTAGCTGACTTAAAAACCCAACCCAGCATTTCTGACAAAGGGCATTTTTAGCATTCTTTCATAACAATCTCATTTTATTTGTAACATCCTGCAGCTTGGCGGTCTGCTCTGAGGTCTTTAGGTGTACAGAGAGAACCAGCAAAGGGCAGAAGCCCAAGTGGGGCACGAGGGCCCCCCAGGGATGGGGAAGACACAGTGGGTCTCTGGAAAATCCCATTTACTCCACTTTTCACTCGTTTGGAAAAATGCCTTATTGACCACAAAACAAAGTCTACCCTGTACACCACTCGCCTAACAAAGTGTTCACCAGTTACTGAGGATTTAATAGAAGTTCTTGGAAAAACCTAGCAAATACTAGTGATAACAGTGATTACATATATCTATATATACTTTCTGTACAGTATTTAATAGAGGGTTTTGTTCATGGGTCATCGAGGACCTCGCAGGAGACATTACTCAGCTCCCCAGTTCGGAGGTGCTGATGAGTTGCCCAGTAGGTGGAAGGGTCAGAATTTGAACCCGGGACCCCTGGCTTTATATCCTTGTTCATTTATCTACCTCAGTTGCCTCCATCCTCCCGCTAAGAAGACGCAGGAGGTAACGAACTCGGTAAAAATCCAGAAGGTTAGTTTAGCAATTGTAGGTAAGTGAGTGGTCTCACTGGAAACTTTTTCTGTTTCCCCTTAGAGCTTTTAAGCGAAGTGTAAATTGACTATGTGCTTAGGAATTTACCAGCTCAGACAGACTGAAACAATTAGACAGGAGGCCAAGTCAGAGTGAGAGAGGGAGACAGACCCCAGGCACGTGAGCCGACATTCCTTTCAGAAAGCTTCCCTCCATATCCTTTTTCAATTGGCTGAAGCCCTAGAGGTTTGACTGGCTACTCCACTTCCTCTCAGAAGCGTCCGTCCCCCCCTCCCAAGGGAGACTGGGATTTGTAGTCCAGAAATCAGCTGACCTTTCATAATCCTTTAGCTGGACTCCCTGGCTGAAGGAGTACGTAGTCAATTTCAGTAGCTTTCCATATGATGAGGTGTCCAGTGTGCTTTTTGTGAAACACAAAGCTCGTCCTGAGTAAAAGCTGAAGTCTCTGTTTATTCACCAGAATCCAGTCCCCTGGTCCCCCCGTCACCCTAGTTCTTTATTACCACCCTTCTCTCCCCCATTGATACTGAGCACCATTTCACTGCCTCCTTCTCGGGACGTGCTGGACACGAGCCCAGCCGTGCAGCTGATGGTGGGGGACCCTCCAGGAGGCAGATCCCCAGCTAAGTGTGGGACTGGGGCTCGACAGCAAAAGAGCCATGCCCAAGGGTTGCTCCTTAGAGTGGCACCTTTTCAATGCTTTTTCTTTAAAAAATTTAAAAAAAATTAGAATATGAGAGAGAAAGAGATCGTGAGCAGGGGGGAAGGGTACAGGGCCTGATGCAGGGCTCCATCCCAGGACCCTGGGATCATGACCTGAGCTGAAAGCTGATGCTTAACGACTGAGTCACCCAGGCACCCCTTCAATAGGTTTCCAGGTAACATATTTACATGATGGTTGTTGATTCAATAGGTATTTGAGGAAGTGGAATGTGAAACTAGGTCCACAGACCACCTACAGAAAACACTGTGTTTTGTTTTTCTTTGCTTTCTAAGCCCTCGCTAACCACTGCCTTGGCCCTGCAGAACCTAGGCTTAGGATAGACAGATCTTTCTTTTTTTAAAAGATCTTATTTTTCAGAGAGAGAGAGAGAGAGAGAGAGAGCACAAGCAGGGGGAGAGCAGGCAGAAACAAGCAGAGGGTTAGGGACTTGATTCCAGGACCCTGGGGTCATGACCTGACCTGAAGGCAGCCACTTAACAGATTGAGCCACCCAGGCATCCCAGGATAGACAGATCTTCCTTTCTGCCCTGGAGTTCTGGAACTTCCTGATTTCTGCTCTAAACTAGTCATATCCCATCTGAGGACCCACACTTTAGCATTACGCATAGACTAACTAAACACATTTAATTGCATGCAGATATTACTGGTTAAATTTTAAATACAATAATTTTTAAATTAAATTCCTAGTGGTTGTTGATCGCTAGAAATGTTGTAAAACAGTAGATATTGAATATATAATTTCCTTTGTGTGGGAGGCAACGATACTTTTTGATGCTAAAAACAAAAATAAAAACAAAAAACAAAACAAAATAAAAACAACCAAAAGAATGACCTCCTCTTTGAAAGAGCTGTTGACTAGCGTGCTAAAGCTTGGGAAAGAGTAATTCCCACAAGAACCGCTCCCGGGTTTTACTCTGCTTCTCTCTGCTTGCCTTGCACTGTGTGTTAGACGCAATGAACTTCATTGCACAGGCTCAGAGGGTTGATCGGGGAAAATATTGAACAAGGAGCCAGGATGGCAAAGAGCCTGTTTGTCCTTGTTATGCCCCAATAATGGGTCTGTGATTAAAGGAGCGAGACTGATACAAAGCGAAGGTCAAGCAAAGCTTTATTTCGTGCCAAGCATCAACCAATCTAACTGAACATTCGGGGCCGCACCTCTTACAAGAGAGGGCGACCCTTCTCTGTTTCACAGACTAGCTTTTAAGGGCAAAGGCCATGTGGTCGGGCCTGGCCACGCACAGGTGGCCAATGAGATTGTAACACACACAGGAAACTCCACAGTGATGCTAGGTGACCAATTGAGTTACAATTTACCCTAGTAGACATTTGACCCAGCCTATTACACCCAATCAAGGTGTAATTGTGGAAGCATTGTTGGGAGCAAATTCAAGGGGCAAGGTTAGACCAGAGTTCTAAGACTTCCATTGAGGTGAGGGACCCATGCCAGTGTTTGACTAGGGCATATAAAGAAAACCTCTTAAAAAGATGAACTCCCATTCTTCCCAGAGCAGCAAGAAACATGCACCTCTATCTTCCCTAATGATTACTTTGCAAATTTCTAAACTGATGGAAAATTGCTTGGCTGGTGTGGAGATTTGCAGAAGAATCCAGCTAGACTCGTCTAGAACATACCTGGCCTTTATCATTTCTGTCTCTATGCTTGGGCCACAAACACCAAGTTTTTATTTTCTCCTTTCTTAGAAGGAAAACCCATACAGATGTACACATACATACTCATTCCTTTAATGACGACCTTTCTTGTTGAGTGTTGACAGCAAGAGATATACAAGACAAAGAACATAGGCGGGAAACATTAGAATTTCAGTTTCAATTTATTTTTATATTACTCTTGAGAATTATCTGTTTTGCATGTTTCATAATATAAATAGTGATAATAGTTGGTGTATATGATTTATAAATCAGTGTTTATATATTGAGAATATTTGCTTAACACTTTCTTTTTAATGGTAGGGTACAATTTAAAAAAAAAAAAAAAGGAGACCAATGTTCTGGAGCACACCTCATTTCATTTAGGTAGATGTGTTGTCCAGAAGGTACTCAGTGCTACCCGGGGAAGATGTCGTCTCATTTCTCATACCATCATAGACTTTCCAGGCCTTACTTGTTTTCATTTATAAAATAAAGGAAATGAAAACCAGCTACCTAATAGTGAAGCAATTTGAAGCAAGTTTCTTCCTTGGAAAGAAAAAAGAACCTAACAATCTCCGTGGGCCATAAGATCCTGACATGGGATCAGAGGAACCTGGACCTCCTTATTCTCCGGTGGAAAGTCAGGAAGATGGTCACTTGGGTTTGAGGTGCACAGTGGAAATACAGAGTGAAGTCTAATGGACAAAGGGCCCATCCTGGATGGAAGTGTTTGCTCTGTTCTGGTTCTTAGACACAGATTATCCACAGCCGTGGTGTCATCCTAAAAACCCTTTTAGGCTGGAGGAAGATTGAAATAACATTTTTTTAAAAATCTCTGCAAAGGTCATCAATAATGTGAAGGTTAATTTAAGTATCAACTTGCCAGAACCACTGAGTGCCCAGGTTACACATTATTTGTGAGTTCATATGTGCAAGTATTTCCAGATGAGATTAGCATTTGAATCTGTGGACTCAGGGAAGTAGATTGCTTTCCCTAAGGCCCAAGGACACCATCCAATCCAGGCAGGGTCTGACCAGAACAAAAGGCAGCTGAAGAAGGAATTCACTTCTTTGCTTCCTGTCTGCCTGCTTGAGATGGGGCATTTTTCTTCCCCTCGGGCTAGGATTTCTACCATTCTCTTCCCCGGTTCTTAGGCCTTTGGGCTCACACTGGAACACATCACTGGTTTTCCTCCATCTCCAGCTTTGCAGACAGCAGATGGTGGGACTTCTTGGTCTCCTCGGTTTTGTGAACTATGTCCGCATAGTAAATCTCCATCAGTATTGTACATCTTACAGTCCTGTTTCTCTGGAGAATAGTGACTAATACAAACAACGACAAAAACCACACCGATTTTGTACTTTCTGCTTTCTGGCAGTAGGTACATATGAAAAAGCCTTTACAGTGCAAGAGTTTCAATTGGGAACTTCCCCTGGGAAAACCCTTTGACCTGATCAGGGGTAAATAAGACAACGACGTTCTCAGTTCTGAGAGAAGAAGGCACAATTTATTTAGTCAAATTATTTTACAACATAGTCTTCATTGACAGTTGTCAGCTTAACACTTAATATAGTTTTAAAAAGTCAATGATTACCTGCAAAATTATATATATTTTAATATCTAAAAAATATATTGCATATATAGGGCAGGAAAATCCCTCGTATCCACAAGGGAAAGTTTGCTTGTTCTTTTCAAAGTTGTGATTATTGCATTATGGTTATTTACAAACATTTCCAAAGCATTAACGATTTGAGTGGACCACCTTTACCTCCTTGTGCACGCCCGTTAAATACTGCATGGTGCTTCTCTTTCTAGTAAAGTCAGTGACTCAAACGTCCTGTTTTCTTTTTAGCAATAGTCACATTATGCTTTTTAAAAAACCAGCTATAAAAACGTACAAACAGCCCAAATGTACAGATTGACAAAAGATGTACAAATTACATTTAAAAAAATAACGACTGATTTGATAGTAAAATTGTCTTTGTGACCGAGGTCAACTCGTTTATTTATTCTTTTACTTTTTTTTACTTTTTTTTAATTATCTATTTTTAATACTGTGAGATATAGGAAAATAACTCTGCATAATTTATACAGTAAGTTGCCTTCTGATTGGTTGACCCTGGACTGGTGGTCGGACAAACGCACAGCGCTTGCGAATCTGCTTGTGTTCAGAAATCCCTACGACTTTTCAAAGTTCTGGGACCCACTGTCATTACTTAAAAAAAAAAAAAAAAAAAAAAAAAAAAAAAAAAAATTATTTAATTCTCTGTCTTTCAGTAATGTCTGCATTTGCATTAACATTTCTTAAGTTCATATCTTGACTATTTCCAGAGAGGATGGTCAGCCTAGCACGTATTGCCCACTGGGAGGGATTTTACAATGCCCACGGCTTCTTAAATACACATACATATGTTCTTTCTTTTAAATTCCAGTTGGGTGAAAACTTCACTGGCCTTACAACCAATGTTCCAGTTGCCATCCACTGAATCAGGTCCTCCTACAATAAGGTTATAAGCTTCCTGCCTCTATTTTCTCTCAGTCTCCAGCCAGAGCATTAACTGGTTAAGTCCATGATTTTTTTTTTATCATACTGAACCCTACAAGATCCATGATGAGACCCGTGTGTTGATAAGAAACTGCTTTGGTCATAAAAATATAAAGAAAATGTACAGTTTCTTTCTTAGAACCATAATACAACCATTCCAGTAATCGAAATATTCAACCCAGAAGAAGATAGCAGATTGAGATTCCAAACTGGTGTACTGGCCCAGAAAATCAGCCATCTCTTTGTTCAAGGTAGAGGAAGCGGAAGTTACCAACATTAAAAAAAAAAAGGATTGTTTTTAAACAACAAACGTTCTATCCAACAAGAAAGAACATCCAGTTTTGTTTTTCTCTTCAAAGCCACGTATGTCCTTTGGAGTCCAAAGTATCCCAGGAAGTGTGAGGAACGGGGGGCTTCAGGTAGAAGACCACCAATGATTAAGCTTCTAGTAGTAGCTGCCTAAGTGTGAGGGCACGTGGGTGTTGGGATGGCGGGGGACATTGGGGTTGGGGTAAATCCCACCTGTGGGGGAGGTCCAGTATTGTGACGCTGCTCCGAAGAAGCTAGAAGATGTGACTGGCATGGAGGTCGGGTGGGGAGGGACAAAGTTCACCTTCTGTTGATGGGCGTGGTAGGAGGGCATGTAGGAGATGTCGGAAGGGTACTTGTACATGGACGACTCCGTGGGATGTGGCTGCAGAGCCTGCGCGATGCCGTGGAAGTCAAATTTGTAGGCATACCTCTTGCCGTGCACTTTGGTCATAATGTTTTTATCATAGTAGTATCTGAGGGCCCGGCTCAGCTTGTCATAATTCATGTTGGGCTTGCTTTTCCGCTCTCCCCAGCGCCGGGCCACCTCATCGGGGTCCGTCATTTTGAACTCCCCGTTGGTCCCCTCCCAGGTGATACAGCTGGCGTTGGCGCTGTCCGAGAGTAGCTCGAGGAGGAACTGCCACAGCTGGATCTGCCCGCTTCCTGCGGGCGGTGAGGCAAACAGGAGAAGACAGAGCAGCTCAGTCTGGGCAAGTCAGAGTCCGATTCCTTAGACGCCGGGATACTCTCACGCTTGGTAAGAAACCCTTTATTTCCCATCACGTTCAGAATCTACTGCTTCTGGCAGCCCCGTAGCTGGATGATTTGGGGCACACCGCTTCCCACCCCTTTGGGCAAGATTTTTGAATCTCTTCTAGAAAGATTTGCATCCCTGTCTAGTTTTAACCTACTCATGAAGTCCCCCCAAATGTTCCTCGTCAGTGTAAAAGGGAGCGGGGTCAGAAGACCACAGCTGGTCACAGGGAGAAGGGGTGGCCCAGGTGTCAGGCTGAAGGCACCTGGGATGTTCCTTAGCAGAGCCCCAGTGCTTGGCTCTCAGCTCTAAGTCTGACAGAGAAGAACTTGGGCAGAGAGAAAAATAAGAGGAGAGTCAGCTGCGTGTCTCCTTCCCGCCCCCAAGACCCCAAAACAGGAATGGCAGGCACCAAAGAATGGGCCTGCAGACACAGGCAAGAGCAGCTCCCTGGGGTGTGAAGGTGTGGGGTTCACTACCGCAAAGGGCCAGTTAGCTCACACGCTTGGTGGTCTTGGTCTAGAATTCATTTGAGAGCTATTTTTAATAATGAACCCTTAAACCACATTGTCAGATTTCCTTTATCTGCAACTTTTCAGGGACACGCCTCTTTCACAAGGCTCTCAGATAACTGCAACCATTTCTAAAGTCAAGAATAAAACACCTTTGGACCATCTATTCACATGTGACTTCCATGAGGACCATAACTGAGAACTCACTGGAATTGCTCCCCCATTCTCCCCTGTCTTTCCCTACAAAATTTTCGACCTGTGCTATTACAAATCTAAACTTCCATGCAGATAGGCAGTGCTCATACGCTTGTTTTCCAGAAGGAGCCTCAGCTAATGGACATACCTACCACCTAATAACAAGCTCCAGACTCTCACTTGTACACCAGAGAAGTAGATGTTGACCATTTCAAGGGAAAGAGCACGTGTTATTTCTTAGTCAGGTCTCTGAACTTAGGACAGTGGTCTCTGTGACCTCACAGAGCTATGGAACATTCTGGAAAGAAAAACCTTGCAGGCCAAAGTAAACTCACCGGGGTTAGCTAGGCGACTGCTGGTCGGGCCCAGGATCTGATATGGATCTGAGGAAGCAAAAAAGGAAATTAGCTTCCTTATTATTAAAAATATAAAACCAACAGCATTAATAATAAGAATACCCCTGGGGTTTATACTTCTGTTTCAATATCATAGAAAAAACTGGTTTCAGAAAGCTTTATTGCTTTTATGTGCAAACCTCAAAGATCTGGAGCAGTTGTGGTTTTCATTCCTATGATTACAGAAACATAGAATACAAGAAGCATCATTTTTTTTTTTTCATATTCAGTGTCTAAAATTTGTAGATAACACTTCCAGTGGCTAAAACAGAATCATGAAACCATTTGGAAAGATGCTGGCTAATATTCACTCATCATGACTGAAGTGAAGGACACCTTTTGAAATGGGTTTAAAGAAAGGTCTAATGATTCCTGGTCTTTACAGCTCCATACACATGTGCCTGGAAATCAGGCAGCCTGAGTTCTAGCCCCAGTTACGTTACAAACTAAATAACTCATTGGGACAATCTCTTCTCCCTTCTACTACCAAATCCCACCTCATTTGCTTGGAAATGGCAGCAGTAGCCAGAATTTGTATTTTAGCAATAAAATGACAATTCTATCTCAGTCTCTGTAAAACTTGCATGATTATTTAATTATAAAAAGAATCTTTGCAATGTTGTTTACATCGGGTCAGTCTTTTTTTCAGGTCAGGAAGTCATGGTACACAGTTGGATCATGACTTGGCCAGGTGGTCGTATGTTTGATACAGTTTACTATTTTTGCACTTGTCGTTGCAATTTTTAAAAAATTGGCATGATTTGGGGATTTCTGCTTACAACCATGAATTAACTTGAAAAGCCCTCAAGGCTACTGAGTTTATCCTCCGGCGTCCACATATCCACACAGTACGACAACTGAAACATTTTTGGCAGGTAATGTCTAATTTTGCTGTCGTTGGGAATTCTTTAAATGCACTATGTCAAATCCCGTTTGGCTTGTGTGTTTCACTCAGGACATTCTTTCTCAACCTTCTCAATGACATGTAGGTCCATTCTCTATTGCTCTGCCTAAGATAGAAATGGAACACAATGTTTCTTTGTCTTAAAGCCAGTGGCTTGTCCAGAACTTAATCTCAGCTGTGTCACACAGAGAAGACAGAGCTGGGCCTGGGAGTGGACACCACAGCTGTCTTCAGAAACAGGAAGGACAGAACAGGAGGAAGGCTTTCCAGAGGGCAAACCAGAAAGCTGGGTGGCAGTTACAACAAGGTGGACTTTGGCTCCAAGAGTGGAAATGAGCCTAGTGAGGTAGTGAACTCCTCATTGCTATAAATATTCAAGGAGAGGTGAGGTAATCATAAGACAGATGTCACAGAAGGATGTGATAGATCTAGTATCACGCCAATACCAAGAGTTTCCAATTCCATGGTTTGAAAAGCTCCCCTGCCTAACTTGTTAAGTAGACCCATCACGGATGGGAGTAGTTTTAGAAGAAAGGTTTTATGGAGCCTAAAAGGTTTGGATAGCATCTCTGGAGTCTGTGGATTAGAGCTCTAGTTTTCTCATAAACCAGCTGTGTGGCTTTTGGCAAATTACTTTCCCTCTCTGGGCCTTAGTTTCTTTATCTTACAAAATGAGGCATTGGAACATTTCATCTTTACTTTTGTTTTTACCTCCAATATGTAACAAATCTTAACCCGGTTCTAGTGCCTGCTACTTTTTATTCACAGAGCTCTTACAGGGAGTCAAGTAGGGATCCTTTATGAAAGAGAAGAATGAGGACAAATACTGTGTATTGATTCAGTCCCCCTCAGCTGGCCACATGGGATCAACAGGGGCATAAAGAGCAAAGGAGGGATTACGCATCCCAGATAGGTACCTGGTTGGGGCCGTTGTTCAGTATTCTTGCTCATTGCTTGTGCTCCTGCAAGTGGGGGACCTGAGGGGGGAAAGAGATAAGGTGAGTGGGGCCACTCTCCATGAGGGAAGAGAAAGGCCCTTGTTAAAAGCCCTCCACAAGGTGCTTCCTCATTCATTTGCTCATTCACCCACTCTCTACTCACTCACTTATTCATTTTATCAAATAAATATTTATCTAGAGGGGCACCTGGGTGGCTCAGTCAGCAGAACATCCAACTCTGGGTTTCAGCTGAGGTCATGATCTCAGGGTCATGAGATCGAGCCCCGGGTCAGGCTCCACACTCAGTGAGGAGTCTGCTTGAAAGATTCTCTCTCTCCTGCTCCTCCCCCCACTTGCTTGCTCTCTCTGTCTCTCTCTAAAATAAATAAATAAATCCTATAAATGTTATAAATAGTTGTCCAGAATTTACTAGTGCTGGCAGTGTTCTTGGTGCTAGAGTTTCAGCAATGAACCAGCAGTTATGGTAGGACTTACATTCTCACGAGGAGACAATGAGGAACCACAACAAACATACAGCACAGCAGGCCTAATGGTGTTGCTGCTGTGGACTGCATTTTTAAGTAGGACATTTCGAGGTTCTCAATGGGATGGTGACATGTGAGGGAATGTCACCTGCTTGTCGTGTTTCCATGTTTTGTGACTTCCCCTCGTGGAACCTCTCACATCCAGCCTTTCTGCTCCCATCATAGCTTCTCCATCCTGCTCCTAAGGCGGCTTCTCACACAGTTTATCGTTTATGTATCCTTACCATTCCCCTCTCCTCCCACTGGTCCATCATACATTTAGCTAGTTTCATTTCCCCAAACCATTTCACCCCACCATCCAAACAACTTTGTGAGTCCTCACTGACTAAAGAATGAAGGTCTACCTTCACAGCAGCCTTTGTACCCCTTCCTTACCTTTCCAGACTGCTTTCCCTTTGTGCATCTGAAACTCCAAGAACCTGGAGTCCTCCCTAACCCTCAGACATGTCAACCCTGACACCGTTCCCCGGCCCCCCACTTCTCTCAGGAGGCTCTGTATTCCCCATCTCTGCAGGGCCAAACCCTGCCTCTCCTTCAAAAGCCAGCTCAAATGCTGCTAGGTCCTCAGGCTCTCCTAGATACTTCCCAGATGAAAAGAGCTGTGTGTGTGTGTAACCTCTCTCCCCAGCTTGACAGACTGGTCTATGTCTGATTCATCTTTGTGGACCTGAGAGTGCCAAGTCCTAGGCACAGAGTAGACAAATAAGGAATACATAGTATGGAAAGGGATCCCAGTTATTGCTTGAGCATCAATTTGTCATCACAACCTTCTTGAAACAAGGCCCTTCATCACCCATGTGCTGCTGGACACTTTGCTTCCTACAAATAGCAAGGTTCATACATTCTGGTTAGGAGTTCATAGTCATTCTCTTTCTATATTCCCTTAATGGGAGATTTGGGGTCAGACTTGAACACAAATTGATGTGTCAGACCCCCACCACTGCCTCCTAGGACCGTCCTCCATCTCAGCCCCTCACGAACCGAGGTCCAGGGAGGTTGGTATGATTAAGCTTCAACACTCAGAGGAGGAAAGTCGTGAATGACCATTATCATGACAGAAATGGCTAGATCCAAATCCAGCGACCTTCCATTCATACAGAAAATCCAGTCTTGAGAAGCCTTCTAGCTTCAAAAATGCGAAAACCAAATGCAATGCAAAAAACCCCGAAAGGTCTGAATGAAAATCCCACATCACCTTTCAAGGAACAAGTATCACTGATAGGCCCTACCCTGGCAGTTAACTTTGATGTCCTCTGCACCGGCAAGACAACAAATGCTCACTCCTGCTCTGTTATAGCTCATGACCCTGTTTTTCACCCATGTTTGTAGAAAAAAAAATTTTTTTTTTCTCCAAATGATAGCGTGTCATTTACTTACTTTTGTTGAGGCCAGAATTCATGTTATTGCCCCATCCTCCTCTCCTCACTGAGTCATAAGAAGGGTCTAATGAAAAACAACAAGTAGAGGTACATCAGCATCTCCAGCTTTTCAGAAAGGTGCCATAACGATTCTCT